TCTCTCTCTCTCTCTCTCTCTCTCTCTCTCTCTCTCTCTCTCTCTCTCTCCTCCCCTACTTCCTGCCCCCTTCCCATCTCTTTTCCTTGGCTCACTCATCCTTCCCTCCATCCCACCCCATCTTTCCCTGGTCGTTTCCTCATACTTTCTCCATGCCCTCTTCTTCTGCTTTTATTTCCTTTACATTAGGGAGATCCATGTAATAAATTCTGCACATTCTTACAAGGAGAAACACCTGTAAATATACCATCGGCCAACCAAGAGGAGAGGCAGTAAAGTTGAATGGGAGGGCAGAACACCTGCTTAGCACACAGCTAAGAGACCCTGGTTTTGATCCCTAGAACCACATAAACACGAAGAGGCAAAGAAAAAACTGGACAACATGAAAAACAAAGACAGCAACACTTGGAGGAGTCACAAAGATAAAAACCAAGGGCTCTAGGGTCTCGGACGTCAAACAGATCACAACCAAAGGCTACACAGTTGCAGTGCGCCCTGGTCCTCGGTAGTGTGTCAGAGTTCCCAGTTTCCACCTCCGCCCTCACTGGGAAGGGCTCCCTAGAACATGAATGCGCCTCTGTCCCCATGCAAAGTGGAGTGTGCATGCGATTCTGCAGTCCCCGGATGAAAAGCATTCCCCTCAAACCCCGAACCCCTCACCTGTGAATGACATAGCCGGAGATGACGCCATTGGGCCTTTGAGGTGGCATCCACTTAACCTCTATGCGAGATGACCCCAGAGCCTTCAGAAGAGGGGACGCGAGACCCACTGGGGCTGCTTCATGCGTTCTGATATACATCCTACTGCTAACTCCACAGCCTCCTAAAAGAGCAACCCAGGGCTTTAGTACTTTGTCCAGCAAGGCAAAGCGTCACACAGCCATACAGGAGGGTCACAGTGTCAGGAAAATAATCTGTCTGAATACATTGCATACGTAGTTCAGTTTGGTCCTAGGGTACCCATGAGATTTGAACATTAAAATACATTATCATTTTTAGATGGTTCATTCAGTAACCATCTATTCATACAGATGTCAGCAAGATACCATAGGCTTGACTGACCTCGTTTCTATTTCTATTGCAGTTATTCTAGCCAGAAAGTGATTACATTTGAATTTTGTGAGTGTGTAAATGACCCACACATCCTGTATACACTTAATAGTATTTAATGTATTTAACTACAGACACTGAACAAGTGACTCTAAGTGTACAGGCCACCCATAGCGCAGCTCCAGTGATGTGGGGATCAGAATTCTATTTTGCCCCTAAATCCAGAAGACAGCATCACCTGTCTATTTCCATGCTGGTAAGGGAAAGTAAAACCCTTTAAACAAAACATAGTTTGTAGGATGGAGTCAACAAATGGACTGGGGTTTCTGATATGTAACATCAAGACCAGCTTTGAAACTTGAGCCAACTCTAGGGGAATGGAACCAGGAATATGGGAGTCCAGCCAACCTGATGTGGAGAGGAGACTGGTACGTTTCTCCAAGGTGGTGCAAACTACCGTATCTGTGTGAATTATATCTCGCTTTGCAACCAGGTATTATCTATCATATACAGCCTATGGACACATGATATAGTCTTGTTTATACATCTGTTTATTTATTTGAGACATGGTCCTTCTACAAAGCCCTGGCTATCCTGGAACTTGCTAGTAGATCAGCTGGCCCTGAACTCACAGAGATCGACCTGTTTCAGCCTCCAAGTTTTGGGATTATAAAGGCATGTGCCACCATGTCGGGCCTTGTATATCTGTTTTAAGTGTATAGCAGAGCTAAATAATGACTGTGTAATATGCTCTCTGGATTCCATGTCTTTCTCTTCTGAATATTGGTTTATGTCTCTCAGTCCTCCAGTAGAGAGAAGAGCTGGTCACATTCTGTCTAAGATAGCATAGTTGATGCTCCTCCAGGCCACAGCCTAAGGCACAGACCTCAACTCATGGCATTGGGTCTAAGGCCACACCATCAAATGTATAGATTCATTTGTATACAATTCAACCCCCCTTTTTTGTTTTTGTTTTTGTTTTTTTTCAAGGCAAGCTTTCCCTGTATAGACCTGCCTGTCCTGGAACTTGCTCTGTAGACCAGGCTGGTTCTGAACTCAGAGCTTTGCCTGCCTCTGCCTCCTGAGTGCTGGGATTGAAGATGTGCGCCACCATGCTTGGCTTGCAATTCAACTCTTAAATAACTTCTCTCTCTTGAAAATTTTTAAATAAATTTATTTTATATTTTCTATGAAATTTATTCTAGAATCCATTTTGTTTTATATTATCAATGGCCTTTTCATGTGAGCTGTTTTCTTTTAAAAGGCCTTATAAAGCAAGGCTTTACAAAGCTACCATTTTAACGTATTTAAATATTCATGATGTAATGTGCAAAGATGTCTAATGCTTCATTGGATGCCAAGATGAATTTTCTGGGCAAATAGTCTACCACAAATTGGAAATTTAACATTATCCTTTGTATTCCAACTGAGAAACTGTTCCTTTTTAAGAAAAAAAAAATATTCAGAGATACTTTTTCAAACAAGCCCGGGTCAAGCGTCTAAAAGCCAGTTACCATTTTGGCAGGCTTGTATCCTTATTTCGTACTGTGTGAATGGAGTCAAGTGTTTCAGATGGGCAGATTGACGGCGTCCAACAGAGAAGGCCAAAAGCATCACACCTCCACCACTGAGTAAGATGCTGTACTCCACCGGAATCTGGGGAACCAGGATCCCTGGGAAGAAGGAGAAAGAGAGAAAGAAAGAAGCAAAAACGCATCATGTAGGAGGGCCAACAAGTCCGTCCCTTAAGAACCGTGCACACATGCAAGGTTATCCCTGAGAGGTGAGGGATGGCTTAGAGTAGCACCAGAGCTGCCCCAAACCTAAGTTGCAGAACACTGCAGCGTACACTCCAAAGGCAAGAGCTGTTTAAACATTCATAATAGTTATATCCAAAGATACACTCGACTGGTAAATAAAAATGAAGGCACCTGTCACTTAAAACACGAGGCAATTAAGGAGGGTATCGTATTTTCCCTAGGTTTACTTAAAGTACATTAAAAAAAAAAAAACCAACTTGCTTGTGACAATAATTCTTCTGTGGAGCATTGTGTAAGCATCTTGTCTGACATGGATCTTTGACATAATAGCCCATAAAATATCCAAATCACAGTCTACCTGGAGAATTCCCAGGGCATTAATTATTGAGCTAGTCCGCTCTGTCAGTGAAACTTATGGGCCTTAAATACATATGAAATTTAGGTCCAATAACCGTCATTTTTACCTGCACTTCTTAAAGTAGTTTTTTTAAAAAATTAATCTATTCACAATCTATTCCTATAATCAATTAAATGCCTGTTAACTTTTATTTGGTCATGAAGAAACATACACTTTTTAAAGGCAAGGATATGAGCTTTGAACGAAGGCTCTAGTAGAGGTTCTCACTGAATTATCTCACTGACTGGGGAGCGTGGGGCATTTACAGGATTAGTTACGTGCCACCTATCAATAAGTTAGTCATTACTGTAGAGACAGCAAAATCTGTAGACAACACCACAGAGCCAACATCCCAGGACCTGATGACATGAGGGATGAGGTCCACACAAGGATGTCTTCGCTTGTGGAGGTGGAAGCCCCACTGAAAGGAAGAGCTGACAGACACCTGAGATGCTCAGGATTGTGTCTTATGGATGTAAATGGGCACTGGGAATATTTCCACCTATAATGACTGTCTATTTTAGAGATTTGTTGTTGTTGTTTTTCAAGACAGGGTTCTCTGTGTTGTGTAGCCCTAGCTGTCCTAGAACTTGCTCTGTAGATCAGGCTGGCCTTGAACTCATAGAGATCCACTCGCCTCTGCCTCCTGAGTGCTGGGATTAAGGGGTGCACCACTACTGTCCAGCTACCGTGGTCTCTTTTAGCAATCTGTTTGATTAGGTAGAACCTGACAACCCAGACTGAGTAGCACATGCCTGTGCATGTGTGTTCATGAGCATATGAACAGATATGTGTGGTGTGTGGGTTATACATGCATGTAGAGGCCAGAGGACATCCTTGGCTGTTGTTTCTCTGGAATAGTCCAGCTTTTCTTTGTGAGACAGGCTCTATTTGTCTCTGTGCCCCAACTCTTGAATCACATGTGGGTGCTGCACCATGCCATTTTTTGGTCTATTTTTAATGTTGAATATGGGGATCAAATTCAGGTCCTGATGCTGGCATGACACGCTATTTTCTGTTTTAGCCATCTCTCCAGGCCTAGAACAAGTATTTTTATTTTCAGTGTAGACTGTCCTAATTATTTACAACATTTGTCTTCATGCTTAAATTATCATTTTATCATCAATTCCTAAATTCTTCAAAAATCTTCATCACATTTTTATATGTATGTGTTCATGTGCATGCTTGCGTGTCTGTGTCTGTGTACATGTGTACCACTCATACATGTGTGGCCATCAGAGGATGCTTTTCTGTGGGAGCGGGTTCTTTTTTGTGGGAGTGGGTTCTCTTTTGTGGGAGAGAATTCTTGAAGACTGAATTCAGTTTGTGAGGCTTGGGTGGCAAGCACCTTTACCTGCTGAGACATCTTGCTAGCCTGATTCTCAATTCTTGTCTCTGGCTTTTACATGTCATGTTTTCAACAGTCTGATAGATGCCTCTATATACATTTTCTAGAATGCCCTCAATCTCTACAAGAGATTACTATCAGAACAAGCTATGTTTTCCCCTTCCAAGTGGACTCACCCCAGGCTTCCTCTTTCAGTTAATGGTTAAACTATTCTCCACGCCCTTAAGCCAAGGGCCTGAGGAAGGCCCTTGGGGTAACCTCATTTTTTTTAACTCCCGAACCCAAGTGACCATTAGATTTTTATGATCTTTCAATATAATTTGGGGTTTATAGAAAAATCAACAACAAAGGAAGTTGAATGTGTTAAAAGGATCTAAGCTATTTTTGGAAAGCAAGACTGCCTGGTAAATGATGGATTGAAACTTGAGGACTGGAGGCCAGGAGCAGGTTCGTATAATGACTTCAGCAGTAACACAGACTAGAATAGCATTTTTTCTTTATTCCTCTGTGGTCCCAGAGAGCAGCTCTTCTCTCATTATAGCAGATTACTAATTTCAAAAAGTCAGAAACTGTTACTTTTGTGAATGTGGCTCCTATGGTTAACTTTTAGCACAAAGTAGCTCAATAATGTGTCAGGTGATTAAATGAATGAATTAGACTTCGGGATAACGGTAACCTCTCTCTTTTAAAAATACTTATTTAATGTGATTGCCTGAGTGTGAGTATGTGCACCGTGTGTGCGGCTCCCACAGCGGCCAGAAGAGTGCATCTGAACCCCTTGAATCTGCTGCAGTTACAGGCTGCTAGGAGCTGCCAGATGCGGGAGCTTGGAACTGAACCAGGGTCCTCTGAAAGAGTAGCACATTCTCCTAAAAGCTGAGCGCCCCTTCCCTGCTTAAAGACAAGAAACTCAGTAGAGTTAAAGGTCTTGTCTGGATTGCACATTGGCTTGTTGTGGGTAGTACTGATATGGCGTGGCTGCATATCAAAGCTTATGTTTCTAAGCCTTGAAAGTAGGATCTTAGATTAAGCTAGCAGGAAAGGAAAATCAGGGCAGGGCTGAGAAAAGCTGGGTAGATAAATAGACCAGTTCTCAACCAGTCAAATTGCTATTAATGAAATAGGAAAATTAGAAAGATTTTACATTCTAAAGACCAAGTTTCCTAGTCTGAGACCCACACATCCTGGACACATGTGGCTTCATGTCCAAGAATGCTCAAAGACAAGCACAAACACAGAACTTTGTGGAATGTTCTTTTGATTTGTAAAATTATAGGGACACATGCTTTTCCTGTCTGTAACAAGGAAATTAGTATAATGTCACTTTTCCTTGTTCATAAAACCTGGCTGTGAGTTCTTCTGCCTAAAATGTCTGAGTGTAGAAAAATGGGAATGTCGTGAAAGTTTTTACAAGACTAAAGGTTAGAAGCAGAAGTCACTTCAGATTGAAGCACTCATAAGACTACTGAAGAAATTCATGCTGAAGCACCTTGTGCTGAAAACAACTGTTCATGAGAAACTCAGAGAATGCCTTTAGTCTCTCCACGTTCCCTTGAAAGGAATTCACCATGAACAATTCAGCCCAGACATGGAACAAACAGGTGCTCTGGCCTATGACACTTCTGTTCAGTGTCACAATAGCAAAGTCTATATTACTTCTCTTCATGAGAGGATAAAAAGCTATCATAAGATCAAATCCCTAAAATTTTTAGATAAGTTCGCATTTCTCTTGGTTGGTGTAATGCATACACATCGTGGACTTACCTAGAAGATGTTCTCCAAGGCCTAATTCTCCTGTCAGAAGAAACCAGGAATATTTGCAGCCTTCCTAGCAAACTGCTGTAATTAAAATGAAGTTTGAGGGTTGGGGGAAGGAACTGATTATGGAGATCATTTGAGACTCTCAGTTCATTAACTGGTGAGGAGAACCGGGTAACATATTAAAGAAGAATGCCATGAGGCTCCCTACTCCCTTTAAAACATCCTACAGAGAGCACTTCTTGAAGTAGTTGAGATGATTGGAGAATGAGCCAGGGACCCTTCCAGTTTGCAATTTGACCTTTAAACAGGAATATGTCTTGACAGAACTTTCTATCAGGTACTCCTGATCATTGGAACATTGGAACACCTCATCATTCCAACTCACATTGGAGTCTCTCTCCTTAATACCCTGATGTAGTCTGCAGTCAACAGAAGGGAGGCTGCTGTCTGTCATGTATGGCATTATGAGGTGAGAAGGATGGCCTGGATGGACACTGAGCGTGGAGCTGGCTCTCCTAGGTTTTCCTAGGACCTGGACTCTAACAACGCATCACTTTTTAATGATGGACATTTGTAGCAAATGCCTTCCACATTATGGAACTCAAGGCAAACATATGGATGCCACACCTACATGGGTCAGAAGATCAAATGTGGGGCTAAGAAACTGTAAACTCATGGCCATTGCTCGAGGCTGACTCTTAGGATGACATGCTCACTCTGTTTCTTTCATTCCTTGGGAAGATCTTGTGGAAGAGTCTGGAAGGCATACTCACCATGCTCTCATGTTCCCTCCAACACTTCTAAAACCCTCTCTTACACAAAGCCACTATTCCAAATAGATATGAATGTTCCATCCATGCAAGTGACTGTCCTCACACTCTCTCACTGTAAGGCTTTTTAAGTGTGCCTTGTACATGGTCAAGTTGTGCAGTGAAAACAATCTGTCATTCATCCTTGGCGGTAATTTTAAGTGGTCTCCCACCCAATCGGTCTGAAGTCAGCTTCTCTGTCTTCAGTCTGGACCTACAGCAGACTGCTTCCAGGCTCTGCCTCCTTCAACTTCTCTGCTCAAAAATGACAGGACTCCCAGCGGGGCTAGGGCACAAGATTGCCCTTCTACTGTGTTTCAGCTATGGACACAGTATTGATCTAGGTTTGAGCATGGCTAGCCACAGCATGAACCTGGGAAATGTATTTTTCACCTTGCAGTTAATGGGCAACGAGAGCCCTTTACGTGCACCTATGAGGTGTTGGAGCAGAAAATGCACTTTAAACTGTGGACATGTCAAACACTGACAAACACCTAGAAAAGAAGGTCCCACCACTGCCATCACTTTGCAGGGCAGTGACATGCAGTCTGTGGCGTCCCTGAAACCCCATGCCATCTGCAATGGATCTGAGATGATG